GCATGCGTTTTGGGGCTTTGCGGCGCACCTGGAGTTGAAAGAACGCGGCAAAGGCTCGACAGGCAAAAGGTCTGGGACTTCGAGGAGTTCGGCTCGAACGGCGTTGAGGAGTGCGGAGTTGTTTTCCCCCAGCTGCACCCTAAACCCTAAACCCTAAACCCTAAACCCTAAACCCTAAACCCTAAACCCTAAACCCTAAACCCTAATTCTAAAGGCTTGGAGAAGAGTGGCAAAGGGAAACTGCCACCCACTTCCGCGTTTATTGTCGCGTGCGCACACAGCCTCTCCGTCTCTGGCTGAGCCTGCAGCAAACCCCAAACCCTAAACCCTAAACCCTAAACCCTAAACCCTAAACCCTAAACCCTAAGCCCGATGAAGCCAAGGCCCTGAGCTCAAAACTTGCCCTGCTGCTGCAAGCCCCAAAGCCGATTCTCCCCACTTCCTACAAGCCCCAAACCCTAAACCCTAAACCCTAAACCCTAAACCCTAATCGAACCTGGTCATAAATGACAAACTTCAAAATGTAGTCTCCCCCAGGGAGGTCCCGAGAGAGCAGCAAAATTCGGTTTTCGGTATATTCAGAAACAGCCCTGAAAAAGAAAAAATAAAATTTAATTAAATTAAAAATTAAATTAAATTAAAAATTAAATTAAATTGCATTAATAATTAAATTAAATTATATTAAAAATTGAATCAAATTAAATTAAAAATAGAGCGAGAGAAGTAGAAAACAAACATAGAAGAAGAAAGGAAAATTAAAAGAGACAATTAAAAAAGAAATAAAAAAAAGAAGTAAAAAGAAACAAAAACGGTGCACAAAAGAATTTAAAAAAAGATAAAAAGAGAAAACCACTAATCAATTTAATCAAATTAAATTTAATTTAATTAATGCGATTAAATTAATTAAATAAAATTAAATTGATTAAACTGCATTAATTAAATTAAGTCAATCAAATCAAATTACATTAAATCAATTTAATCAAATTAATTAAACAAATCAAATGAAATAAAATTAATTAAATTAAACAAATTAATTAAATAAATAAATTAAATTGAATTAAACAAATTAAATAAATAAATTAAATTGAATTAAACAAATTAAATTAAATAAATAAATTAAATTAAATTAAATTAAATAAATAAATAAATAAATTACACTGGAGCTTTTCGAAGTCCTTCTTCTTCTCTGCGGTGTAGCTCCAGACGCAGCGGCAGCCACGCCGGCTGTAGAGACACCTCAACTCTCAAGCTGCAGCAGCAGCAGCAGCAGCAGCAGCAGCAGCAGCAGCAGCAGCAACAGATGTAGTCGCAGGGGTTTGAAAAGAGGCAGAAGAGGGTTTAAAAGGAGTGAAGAAGGGTTTTGAAACCGCGAAAAAGGGTTTAAAACCGCGAAAAAGGGTTTTGAGGGCGGAAAAGGGTTTGCAAGCCCCCAAACCCTTTTTTGGGGTTTTGCAAACCCCAAAAAAGGGTTTGAAAAGCACTTCACCTGCTGCTGGCTCCCGGAGCAGAAAAAGGAAACTGAGGCTGCAAAGAAGGAGAAATCCAAATGTCATGAGGTCTAGACACCTCAACGCCGTCGGCCCCCAGCTGTCTGTACACCCCAGCGCACCCCACACGCCAGCTGTACAGTTGCTGCTGCTGTTGCTGCTGCTGCTGCTGCAGCAGGGGAGCAGCAGCTGCAGCAGCAGCAGTGGGAGCAGCAACAGCAGCAGCAGTAGGAGTGGCGCCAGCAACAGCAACAGTGGCAACAGCAGCAGTGGCAGCAACAGCAGCACTAACAGCAGCAGCAGCAGCAACAGCAGCAGCAGCAGCAGCAATGACAGCAGCAGCAGCAGCAGCAGCAGCGGACTTCGGCAGAAACATTGAGGCGTCGAAGGTGGTGTTGAAGGCGTTGAGGGCGGCCTGCCGCAGCTGCGGCAGCGAGAGCTGCTGCTGCTGCTGCTGCTGCTGTTGCAGTCCCCTTGCTGCAGCACAGCAGCAGCAAGTTTGCAGCACCGCAAGAGAGCCGTGAGGCTTTATGGGGGCACTCAAGGGTTTAGGGTTTAGGGTTTAGGGTTAAGGGTTTAGGGTTTAGGGTGAAGGGGAAGGCCTCTAGGCTTTACGCTCTACGGCCTACGGCCTCTAGCTTAGGGTTTAGGGTTTAGGGTTTAGGGTTTAGGGTTTAGGGTTTAGGGTTTACCCCAGGGGCAAACGGGAATGAGGGAAAGGGGGGCCACGACGAAGTGGAACGCCTCTAGGCCTACGCTCTACGGCCTACGGCCTCTAGCTTAGGGCTTAGGGTTTAGGGTTTAGGGTTTAGGGTTTAGGGTTTAGGGTTTAGGGTTTAGGGTTTAGGGTTTACCCCAGGGGCAGACGGGAATGAGGGAAAGGGGGGCCACGACGAAGTGGAAGTGAAGGAAAGGACAAGAGGCCGAAGACACCGCAGGAGTTAAAGTGAGTCTTATAACGTACAAACCCGCAGAGTCCGCCTCTGCACGCAAACCCTAAACCCTAAACCCTA